ATGATACAAATAAAAATTTTATTAAACGAGTTTCATATGAAAACAACCATATTTTTTTCTGATTTTTTTTTACTTTTTTTTTCAATTCTCTCTTCATTATTTTAAAAATAAAAAATAAAAAATAAAAAATAAAAGAACTGATCGTAAGAGATAGTTTTAATCATTCATCCGATAAAAATAAAAAATATATAATTTTTTGTGTTTATTTAAGATCAATTGTTATTTTGAGTTGTATTTGACTCAAAATATCTCAAAGTGAAACTCTCTTTGTTTGTAATCATAACAATATACTTAGATTTTCTTTTAGAGTTTTATTTGTATACGAGGAATGGAGCTCTAAAAAATAACCTTGAGTTAGAGAGTTTTCTTCTAAAAGCAAGGGGAAGTCTATAATTTTTATTTTACTCAAGTGTAAATATAAATATGTGTGTGATATGTGCAAGTGAGTGAATTGAATGATTTCTTAGTTGGCTTGTCATATGTGATGAAGTGATTTAATTGGTTGATAAGTGATCTCTGTATGCATTAATAAAATTTGATTAAGACTTTTTGATTGTTTGTCTTAGTAAGAAAAATGATTTTTTAAGTATGATGTTATCAAATTGGATGAATGGTACTATATAAGGATATTTTGAGTCAAATATTACTTATTTTAAGGATTGAAGACGGGATAAATTGCTCACATAGATCGTTGGACCAATTTGATATACACAAAAGTTGGAAATTTGATATTTGGTATGGTGTTGGGTGCCACTTAGGTACTGGTAGGTGCCCTTTTGACAATGAGTTTCAGGGGTTCCTAGCATTATATGCCACATAAAAACCATTGGGTGCTCACTTGGCACTAAACTCTATAGATTTGGGGTGTTGGGCGTTACAGGGACCATTAAACCCTCATTTAATAGAGAGCTTCAGTGGTCTCGATGTTGGGCTATGACTTATTGGTGCGGGTGGCAATGGACTGACGCTAAGCACTTGTTCTCATGCTGAACGTGAGTGTGCTCTATAAAAAGATTTTGAAATTGGAAGAAAAATATTTTTTATAATCTATGAATGTTATTATGTTTGTTTGTGACATGAACGAGGGTAACTCAAAGGAGAATTACTTCATTATTCAAGTGTTAGGGTATGCTTTGAGTGAGAGTACCGATTGATAAGTTATCCTATCTCTACTAAACTAAAATTGGAGTTAAGGTGGAGAGAGTTTAAAGAGGTTTCTATAATGAGACTTTGGTTTGAAAGAGAACAAGTGTAACTATGCTTACATTTGAAATAATAACCTTCTCATGATAGATGTGAGTTAAGTGGAACCACAACAATTATTTTTTCTCAAATCTACTACAAAGAATTATATGATAGATGTATGACTTCATACGTATTTAATTCAATACATGTTTTTCAAAAAATTGAGTCTAAATAATGTCAATTCCTAAAAAATTGCTTGTTCTTGATTGAATGATTATATGTAAAATGTATGTGTAACATCCCAGATTATATAGAAGTATATAACATAGTAAGTCCACATTTAAATAAAAGAGATCAGTTAGAGTAGCCTGTAAATAAAGTTGTTAAGCTTACAGCCATCCCAAATATGAGTCGTAATTTAAAACTTAAACGTAAATAGAGTATTTCAAAAGGATAGGAATCACAGAGAAATCCTTAACAACTAAATAGTAATCCAAAGTACAAGAAATACTAAGAGAATCCTAAGGAGACTAAGCAGCAACATCATCTTCCTCCAAAGCCTGCTCCAAAGGCACCTCGTCCGCTTCTGCTCACATCCAAGTGGATGATCATTGCAAAAGAAAAACATACCCAAGCAAACACAAACACACAGACAAGGGTGAGCTAGATATAAAAATCATGTTATAACATCCACACACAATATGCAAATAAAGACAGATACACCACACTTCACACACACGACTTGTTGCACTTAAACTTGACTCGTCCGGACTTAGAATGATTGTCGAGCTATGGCGGGTTATGCACTCGTGGTGGCCTCAATTGCTTTGCAAAGCCATTGCCAATGAGTTTCACCCTACCACACTCACGAGGTTAGTCCGTTATCACTCACCTTGGGCCATACTGGAAGCACCCAAGACTAGGACCTCCTGTTACTCCTCACCACATGGATCAATCCTCTCTACTTGAGAATGAAAGAACATTGGAGCGTCAGGAAAACCCCCAAGATTGAGCTACCATGCAAATCATTCTAAACATTAAGGGCACCACCATGTAACCTCCCTTTGAGATCCATGGAATTACGTCCATCAACCATACTTGTTACATTCAACCACCAAACATGTTTCATACCATCACATACTATTAGTTCAATAACATTACTACCATCATATTATGCATTTCAATCATTCCACACACTTGGTTCACCCAAAACAAGAGCAAAAGAGAAGACTGGACCCAAAAGGGTTCGCACAGCGCACCCTATTAGCAAGGCGAGACAAGATGATCTCGCACAACGCACCCCTAATTCGCCATGCGAATTAACTCGCAACATGCATTAGACTTTCAACCTCTCGCATAGCGCACCCAGGTCGCTATGCGAGAGCCTAGACAGAGACCAATCCCCCTAAAGCTCTAGCTATGCGCCCCACTCGCCTTTCGAATTAAATGGGCAGTAGTCGCAGACCACCACCAGTCGCATAGCGACAGGATTCGCCAGGCAAATCCACAAATAGAGAGCAGCACCCTCTGGTCATTCGTACAACGCACTAACTCGCATAACGAATGACTCAAACAGTTAGCACTCTCTACAGGGTCTTGCTATGCGAGACAGCTCGCATATCGAGTCTGCATAATCTGCAGAACGCAAATTATGTAGAATTATGCAACACACACACTTTACCAATTCTAGGCCCTTTTATCAATTTCTAACACCCCTAATTCATGTATTACACCTAATTACACTTGTCTAGATGATTATAAACGTTCCTACTACAATTCTAAAGTGATTTAGACTCAATTTCTATCCTAGAACACCAAAATCAACAACTTAGGGACCCAAACCCAATTCTAATACTTCTAACTCGTTTTAGACCATTTTGAGATTCGTAACAAGTCCAAATTGACCTATCTGAGCTACCCAAACAGCCCAAACACACCCACAATCTCCAGTACTCAAAGTCACTACCTCACTTCCTCTCATAGTGACCTAAGAACTATAGAAGCTCCAAATTTTCTATCCAACCAAGGTTATACAAATTTCACACTTCACTCACTTCCAACTGATCAATTATAACAATTCCAAACCCATCCAAATCAATTCCAAACATCACAACATAGTTTCATAGATTCACACACGATCATGACAGTACGTACCATTTCATACACTCAAAAACAGCAGAGTATTACATATTTCAGCACATGTATTGTTCATACAACCCATATAAAAGAAGCTAGCTCCCCTTACCTTGAAGTTGAGCAATACAACCCACTAGAATGCTCTAACAGTGCCCCTCACAGCGAGAACCCGAACAATGCCCGACTTAGAATCCGAAACTGATCGGATGGTTCTGAAGCTCTCTACGCTGCGAATGTTTTGGCGTCACCTAAACAAAAATCCAGTGGCTTAGTGAAGAGGGCTGGAAGAGAGAAGACAAAGATATGGTAGAGAGAAGACAGAGAAAATGAAGAACTGAGTTCTTAGAGAGAGAGAGAGTGGTGTGCTGGAGTTAATGGACCAAGAGGTTTGAAAAATCCTTTTTGTTTTAAGTCTAGTCCTATTAACTTAAGGCACTTCATTGGGCTCTATTTTCATGTCCTCACAGTATGACTGAATTATTAGAACTTGATTTAATTAGGATCTTTATAATAAAAATATGTGACATAATTTTATAAAAATAAACAAGTTTATCCTTATATATTGTTTATGTTTAGTTATCCACGTAGAATAATGTGATACACAATAGTATAAGAGAATGGAGTGCCCATAAATAAACGATAGAGATCAAAGAGATGCAATGTTGTCATGTATTTTGAAATTAAATGTATCTATATATGTATATTTTGGAATGTATATTCTTTTCACTTTTACAGTACTTTGAAGTATCTCCTTTTTGAAAATTAAACGAAAATTATGTATTTTTTTATTATCATTTCAAATAATCTTACTTTTTTAATGTATTATTTACGAAATCCTTTAAATTTTTAAGGTTCAATTATAGGAGATAATTATATATATATATATATATATATATATATATACACACACACACACACACTAATACGTTTATCTTTTCTTTTATAATTTTCTTCTTTTTTCATGTTGTTTACTCTTTGTCAATGAAAGCTTAATTCTTAAAGTTTAATTCACAAAATTATGAGCATACATTTCCTTAAAATTTAGTTATAACTTAATTATAAACATACAATTTGAATTAAGTTTTAAATAGATTCTTTAACATTAATTTTTCTTTTAAGTTTAAATTTATGTTATAACTTGAGTTTCTCCTAATTGATAATTAGATCTAGATTATACTAAATAATAATTTAATTTGATTTGTATTATAATTGAATGTCGTGAGAATAGGAATGATATAAATCTCTAATTCTTAAATTCACTCTGTTTCACTCTAAAAGTAGGAAAAATATTGAAAACTTGAATAGAATAAAAATGCTCTATATCCTAAAATTTTATATCCTTTGATTTCAAAACACGGCAGTGATTAGTTTACTTAAATAAAACATGTTAGATATATAATTAACAAACAAATCAACTTTAAGTCTAATTTATGTTCACAAAATCAAAACCTGAACTGTAAGACTAGATTTGTACATTCATTAAAAAAGAAAAAATAAAGGTCAGAGAAATGATGAGAATGTTTAGACATAGCAATTTTCTTAAGCAGTGGTGATAATAAGAATTTTACAGAATTTTGAAAAGTTTAAAGGATTTGACAGATTACAGTGTGAAAATGAAACAGTGTTGGCAAAGAAGACTAGTAGAGAAGGAAACTTGCAATGTACAAGACTAAAGCAAGTTTTCAGCGTAGAGTTCCCACTGGTCTTTTGTAAGTATAAAACATGGAGACTATAAGGAATGCTATCAAGTTGAGAACACTTAGCAGTGCCAATAGCCAATAGAAATAATCTATGTGACCAAAGTTTAGGTTGTCAGGTATCCATCCTGGACTTCCATTCTTAGTACTAATCTTTGTCACAATTGTCACAAGTAGAGAGCTCAAGTACTGTCCAAAAGCCACTGTGAGGAGTGAGAGAGCAGAACAAAAACTTCTCATGGCATCAGGGGCTTGCTCATAGAAGAACTCCAACTGACCAATGAAATAAAACACTTCTGCACAACCTATCACAAAATATTGAGGAACCTGCCAAAATATTGTCATTGGTATCTCTTCAAGTTGATAGTAGTTGTGCCTTCTCACCATTTTAAGCCTTATGAGCTCCAATATAGCTGCAGCTACCATAGAAAATATGGATATGAAGAGCCCAACTCCCATTCTCTGGAGCTGAGTTAGGCCATTTCTGTGCCCAGTGAACTTTCTTGCAACTGGCACAATGATCTTGTCATACACTGGAACCCAAAATATGACACTGAGGGTGTCAAAGATAGAAAGGGAAGCTGGAGGGATTTTGAAACTGGAATTCCCAACATGAGTATTCATTGTTTGCCCTTGCAACACAAATAAGGTGCTCATCTGACCATACACTGTGGAAAATATGATGCCAGTTGCCCATACAGGAAGTAATCTCAAAATGGATTTTAGTTCTTCCACTTGAGTTACAGTGCAAAGTCTCCAAGGGTTTGCTGATGCTCCCACTTTATCTGATTGTCCTATCACTGCTGCTTTGTCCAAACACCTATTACACAATAAGAAAAGTGTATCAAATCAAATCTACGTTTTTCTTCAATCAGAGTTTAAAATTAATCTATAAAACAACAAAGATCACTGAAGTGAAACCATAGTTTTGATTAAATAACCACACCAGAAACACTCAAGATATAGTGTCTAGGTTCTATCTAATGTCTAATTGATTCAAGGAAACACTTGTGACAACCTTATATATATTGCAAGGATAATGTTTTCAACTTCTTAGGGAACAATTGCAAAACTAGCTGATCATAAGATTGTCATATTGTATTATGATTTCAAGTTAAATGCAATGAATTTGGACTAAAGCTTTGCCTTGTATACCATATAATGCAAGTGTGACATCAACATTGCTTCTGATTCTGAGTAAGCAAAAAAGAATTACTTGGTCGTCTAGAAATTTGCTGTGATTGCTTAATTTACCTTAACTCATTTGTGTGATCAAGCTTTCGGCTTCCTTTTATAGCAGATTCACCTTCATTAATCTCATATAGAAGAGACTTGTCAGAGGGTACTTCAACACGGTACTTTCTTATGGATGCTGTTACCACCTGACATATTCTAGTGAGGGCGCTTCCTCCAGGCTTCTGATTCCTGTACAATCTAGTGCCTGAAAAGAAACTCACCACAGCAATTGCCATGGTTACAGCAGGAATTCCAAAGCCCCATCCCCACCCCACATTGTCTTGTATCCAGACTAATAGAGAAGAAGCAATAAGAGCACCGATGTTGATTGAGAAATAGAACCAATTGAAGAAAGAACTCTTGTGTTCCTTCTCAACCGAATCAGTGTCATCAAACTGATCTGCTCCATAGGATGAGACACAAGGCTTAATCCCTCCAGTGCCAAGAGCAATAAGGTAAAGAGCTAGGAAGCAGATTGCACTGTCTAGAGTAGTAGCATGACACTTTTCCTCTCCATGACATGTTGGTTTCATGCCAGGAACTGATGCAGACAATGTCAAGAGTGTCATTCCCTATTGTAAATCAACAAGATTACCTTTTATTAGATGTTGTTTCACAGACTAGAACACACATTCTCAAAAATCTTAGATCAGTTTAAAAAATTATTTANGAGAGAAGAAGCAATAAGAGCACCGATGTTGATTGAGAAATAGAACCAATTGAAGAAAGAACTCTTGTGTTCCTTCTCAACCGAATCAGTGTCATCAAACTGATCTGCTCCATAGGATGAGACACAAGGCTTAATCCCTCCAGTGCCAAGAGCAATAAGGTAAAGAGCTAGGAAGCAGATTGCACTGTCTAGAGTAGTAGCATGACACTTTTCCTCTCCATGACATGTTGGTTTCATGCCAGGAACTGATGCAGACAATGTCAAGAGTGTCATTCCCTATTGTAAATCAACAAGATTACCTTTTATTAGATGTTGTTTCACAGACTAGAACACACATTCTCAAAAATCTTAGATCAGTTTAAAAAATTATTTTAAGTTTTTATGCAGTGTCAAGTTTGGAAAAAACTATTACATGATTTAGAACCATCATTGTTTCTACCAATTTCTATCAAATACGTAATCAAAATTTTCATTTTACAAGATACAATCAATAGAACTTAATTATATATCATATAAATTATGTATCATATGAAAACTGGTCTAGATCAAGATATTCCTGACCATGTAATAAATTTTCCCAGTAAAAACAGGTTGAAGTGACCACACTCACAATAGCATATATTATTGAGAAAACTGCAATTGTCCAATATCTTCCGAGGTAGGAATCAGCCAAGAATGCTCCAATCAATGGTGTGATATAGCATGTTCCACTCCAATTAGAGACATTCTTAGAAGCAGTAGCACTGTGCTGATTTAGCCGATTCTTAAAATAAAGCACCAAGTTTGTGCTCATCCCATAATAAGCCAATCTCTCACAACATTCATTTCCTGTGAATAGAAGCTTAAAACGATAAATATTTCACACACAACATAATTCATACACATGTCATTCCACCTAGGACTTAAACAAACACAAAAAATACCTAAGATAAAGGGGCAGGCTCTCCAGGTTCCAGTTTCCTTTTTATTAGCTGGATTTCCACGGTAATCCACTGTTCCATCTTTGGTGTATATATCATCCTCTGCCATTGTGGTTCAACACTCGTCCACACTATTCGCTTGCACTTGCAACCAACCAAACAGCACAGAAATTGACAAACTGAAACAGCAACAACAGAGAATAACATATTACAAACAAAGGCCAAAATTGAACTCAAATTAAACAAAAAGACACTCTTTTTTGAGAATTCTCAGTTATAACTGCGCCTCAACACATTGCTGGTCTTTCTCTCAAGAACAAAAGGTTCCAGAAACCAGCTTTTGATTCTAATGTTTGGTTATATTCAGTCACTTAAAAAATAGAGCACTCTATTCAAGAATAACAGAAAGTTTCAAGATTCCAATTACATGAATCCATAAATCAGTAGAAGTTAAAAGAAAAGAACAACGAAAACAAAAAAGACTTTAAATTTGACTGCAAACCGCTGATAAAATCTCACAATGATAAACCCCAGATCAGAATTCAAAAGCAAAGCACGGAATCAAAGAAGCGCATCTCCAACCTTAAAAGTTGACAACTTTATCAAACATCATCCATCATTGGGCAAACCATACTGAATAACAATGTTTATATATATAGACACATTTCAAGTAGTAAAGAGGGCACCTTTTCTTGGTCTAGCTGCCCGGCACGAATGTTGTATAGGACAAAGATAGGGTACACACCCTGTTACACGTCTTTTTCTTTTACCGTAAGTTAAATTTATTAAAAATCATATAAAAATAAATAAAAAATATGAGATTTAAACAATTCATAATATTTAATATATGTTAATTAGTTTCTAAGAGTATTGCTATTATTCCTCATCAGTTACACGCCACAGAGTAATCTGCTGGAGACTGTTGACTTGTCTGACGTGTGATGTGATTAAAGAAAGATGCAATAAAAAAATCTTTAAAATGTGATTTTGGAATTTACCCTCTTTCAGCTACTAGGTACATAGCTCTCTGCAGAGAAAAATAAGGCAAAGTAGGACCTTAAATTCGCCATTTCTTCTAGCTTGACTTTTGGTTGCTCAGTTAAAAATAACTGTTCTACAGCTAATAATATCTTAAATCTGTTTTGAAAAACTGAAATCAAATGAAAATGCTTGTTTGAGAAAAAAAATGGAAATTGGTTTCTATTTTGACTACCGTGGGAACAGATAGCTGCGGTGTTAGAAGCCAAAGCAAAACTCCCATTATTCTTTATATTATTATCAACATGTTTGCTTCTCAAAAGAAAAAATGGGTAGCAATTTGAGAAAGAAAAAAAGTTTCTTTTGGATAAGCATTCCCATTACTGTTTATAAAAAGTTATCATTTTTAAAAGAAAAATACTCATGGGAGTGTGTAGCAAAGGAGCTTCTTTTAGATAAGTGTTCCCACAATAATTACTCTAAAATATAAATCATTAAGATTTCAAATTCTCATATACATCATTAACAAACAATAGTATGTATTATGGAAACTAATAATGTTCTGAGTCAATAGAAATATAAAAGTAAAACATAAACATATATGATTTTCGTATGATTTGAAAAAGGAGAAATTGCACGAGTACTTATGTTTCCTCTTTTTTAAAATCGGTATTTATGTATTTTTATTGCATTTTAAATAAAAATGATAATCACATATTTTCTAGTTTTTTCATTAAACATTTTCATATTTATGCTATTAATAAAAGATATTCATTTTTTTTATATTTGTAAATTTAATATCTCTTTTGATTCTTGCATTTATAGTAATTATTTGATATTTTCCTTTAACTCTTTTTATTCAATATGCTATCAACATTTATTAAAATAAATCAATGTGATTTTTTAGATTGGTATTAAGAAAAAAATATTAAATAGTTATTTAGATACTAAGACCAAAAAAGGCATGAAGTCTATATTTTTAATAGAGTAATGTCTTTTTCCTTGTTTTACATAAAAATACCATATTAATTAAATTTAAATAATAATTAAAAAAGTTAAAAATTAAAACAGAATAAATATGAATATTACTATATTTATAAACAAAACTTGAATTGTGTTATTATTACGTGTTCAAGATATTATAAAAATTAATGTTTCAGTAAAATTGAAATTCTCTTATACAAATATAAAAAAAATTATATTTTTTAGAAGATATTATTTTAATATAAAAATCAATAAATAATTATAAAATGTATAATTGTATTTATTTACTTATATTGCATATACTATATACTATAACTGGTATTAATGTGAACATGGATGGTAGTTTCAACTTTCAATTCAACTAGTACAGATAACACGTCACTTTGAAAACGACACGGCAATACGTAACAGCAAAACAATGTGTACAAGACTCAAACTTCAAAGAAAGCTGTGGCCATGCTTGTAGAAAGAAGATTCTGAATATTCTTTCTTAACATGAAATAACTCTTAATTCATTTTAAACTCTTATTGGATTTTAACTCAAATACTGATAAAATCAGGTTTGAATAAATTTAATTAATACATAAAACTACGGGAAGACTTGGGACTCTTTTTTGCTTTCCACTCTATGCTTCTTTTTGCTTTTAGGAAATCCATTAAAGCATGAAATTTTACCATCTAATTCCAGTCATTTTGTAAAAGAAAAAACAAGTAATATGTTTTCAAATTTAATTTAATGATATAATAATAAAAATAATAACAAATGGAAAAGTATTGGTATAATCGAGTTCTTTTAAAACTTTCAAATTATATATATATATATATATATATATATATATATATATATATATTAATTGGACTTTGTCTAATGTTGATAATGATTTTTTAAATTTAATATTCAAAAAGTTTTAAATAAATAGTTTTATCACTATCATTGTTTTGAGGCTAAATGTTTTTTATTTTAAGTATGTTGAAATAATATCATTAAAATTAATAATCGTATTTAAATTATTATCTATTTTAAACTCTAAATTCATATTCTTAAAAACATTTTAGAAGAATAAAAAACAGTACATTTAAATTGTGTTTACATGAAACTATTAAACTGAAAGTACTTGCTTACCATGAATGTTTATTTACATATCATGTGTTTTTCCTAAAATAATTTAAATTTATAAAAACTAAATTTATATTTTAAAGAATAAAATATAGTTAATAAAGGTAAAAAAACAAAAACTTAAGCATATAATTAATCAAAATCCTAGGAAAATCACAACCACCCTAAACCCATACCTCATCTTATCCCCACTTTCGTATTTGAAGAATGATTGTTGGTTTGTAATGTTATGCAGTTTTGTCCATTGTAATCCTTTCCAAATTATGGAATTTGTTTTATTCCAAAAATAACATTTTCATTTTAATTTTAATTTAATTCAAGTTTGGGACCAGTTCCTTTTTATTTTTAGAAATTATATTTTCTTCTTTTCATAAATACAATGTATTATAGTTTAACTTATCTAAATATAGAAAAATATTTATAATAACAATAAGCAATGCAATCCTCAACTTTGATGAAAGAATTTCGTTTATTTCTTAGCCAACACAGTTGTAGAAGTAATATAGTTTATAAATCAAGTCCTCGTGACAAAAAATTTACACTAGTTTGAATAATTTATCTATTCAATGACTAACTCAACGACTTTGAATCAAGATTATGATACATAAATTAACTATTATCTTAATATTAGAACCACAGTTTAACGAAATAATTTTTCTAAAAGAGTAACTGTAACATCTTAAAAATACAGTCTAAAACTATATAATAGAATAATCACATTGAATAATATATAACTCAGTCTTACACTAAAAGAGAAGTACATTGTGGCCGAACGGCCTTACAAAAAGAACTAGAAAATTAAAACCCGAACAACATAAGCGATTCCCGACCGAACGGTTTACAAAAGACTATACCGAACGGTCCTACCAAAAGAAGAGGGGAAAAGATGATTGAACGATCATCTTAAAACTAAAGCTATTAAACTGACCAAACAGTTCTACTGTTCGGTCTTAACTTCTACCTCGACTAAGCTATCCTTCTTCAGCGCTTCTTCCAGCAGCTCGTCTCCTTCTGCTCACATCCACATGGATGATCATTGCAACAGAAAGACAACCGAACGTACAAAACAGACAAGACAGGAAACATAGGGTAAGCTTATGTAATTCAATTCATGTATAAATATATATTTCACACAATCAACCAAACAAGATAATTCATCACTCGTTCATGCAAAGCCTAATACTAGACTGATTGTCCGGACTGTATGAATTATGTGTAGCTACGACGTTCGTGCATTCGGGTGATGTAGTAACTGGGATACCCTCAACAGCTGTCACCCGATGTTATTCCTATTTGTCCAAATTAACCATAAGGACTAGGACCTCCTGTCGTTCCCACACATGACTTACCCTCCTCTACGTGAGGACGAGTAATCACGAAACATCAGGATGAACAGCCAGCTTAGCATGCCCACATTCATACTTTACCAAATTCTAATATCCATTCATGAGATATTCCTTCCCGGAATACTCGTTCAAAATCAAATACATTTCCACCATAACATACTTAATCATCTTTCCTTATTTAATGTCGATTGGAACGAAGATCCAATGAATTTGAATAAAAATCCCTAAGGATTGCCAAATACCGAACATTCAACCCCAACTCAGGACGAGACCGAAACTTGGAGCGAGACCGAGGGGTCTCCAGTTCCAGAATAGATTAAGACCGAGAGGTTTACTATCGAGCTGAGAAAGAACCAGAGTACAATCATATATTACAAGAACGAATAGAACGAATGTTATTTACAAAGTGAGCCAATTAAATGAATTGACACTTGAGAGCTCAAACCGAACACCGAAAAGCCCATGTCAAGTACTAAGACTCTAGGCCAAAACCAATGGATACAGACATTTCAAGACATTCAAGGAATAATAATTAAAAGAATCACATGAAGAAACCGAACGCTTATAAATACTTAGCTTAATTGAGTTTAACATCAAGAAAATCGAATGCCAGTCAAAGACCGAGCACGGTAGAGAGAGTACACTATTAAATTTGGACGAACGTTATTTTCATCAAGGTAGATTATAGAAAAGAGAATGAGCGCTTGGTATAAGACCCTGCACTAAATAGTACGAACGCTTAGTGAAAGACCTAGTTTTGAATCGTACTAGCGCTTGATGAAAAACCTATGAGTAAATAGCACGATCACTTAGTGAAAGACCTAGCACTAAGTCGTACGAACGCTTGGAATATAAGCTATTATTTAATTAATATTCAAGAACGAACGAATATACTACTACCAATGGGCATACTTAAATTTATATTAAAATGCCAAGAATAGAATATCCTTGGTGGAACGCCTGTACACAAATTGTACTAGACGAAGACGCTCGTCCTCAACATAAACTCCTTCCAAATGAAAGAGTTCAGTTTTAAACGAGTCCCCAAGAAAAACCGAACGGTCAAAGACCATTCAGTAACGAACATACATTATCATAGGGAATTTCATACTTAGAATTATTTATCTTCAAAATCTCATAAATCCCTATCATATTGAATTTCCATACTTCATACAATCAGAACATAACAACAATCATATTTCGTATTAATTCAACAAACTCAACCAACATACATGCAATACAAGCAACATACAAATTAAATTAAATAAGCTTCCCTTACCTCTTATGTGAGCGAACGTTCACAAATAGGACCACTGATTCACCTCTAAGAATCCTTCTACCCTTAACGCTCAACAATTTCCAAACTAAAACCAAGTAAAACCAATATACTATCAGAACCTCTTATTTCAGAAGAGTTATTAACACAGGAAACCATAACTTGGTTTGCATTTATAAGAAAACGCACGGCTAAGTGAAAAGAAGAACTTATCAGTTCAGAACCCAAAACCGATCGGTTCAAACTGAAGCTCTTGACACCGTAGGAGTAGAAACGGTGCCTGAATGGTGATCGGAGGAAGCAAAGGTGAGAATTTCTTAGAGAGAAGATGAAGAGATGTAGAGAGAAGGAGGGGAGATTTGAGATTTTCAAAAATCTGGGAAGAAGGGTGCATGCAGAGAATGTGACGTGAATTTCTGAAAATCAGAGTTTTTCCTTCCAACGTCAAAACGGACGTCCACTCAGCTGCTAACACATGTCTTCACCCATCTGATTGTCGAATCCCTCGCGTGACACATGGAATCTACTAAGACGGTACGTGCGTGGATTTGAGTGGTTGTGACACTTACAAACATAAAAATATATTGAAATAATATAAAAAAGCATTGGAGTTTGATTTGATAATCTTAATGTAATTTTTATCATTACATTTTCGCATTGGTAGTTTATTTATACTCTAAAAATTTAATGTAAAAATTTAGTTCATTAATTTTTTTAAAACAAGATTTCTAAAAAGAAAAAGTGTTATAAGAATGACCATGTTATCAAAGATTAAGTCCATAACTTTTAAAATATTTTTCAGTGGTTCAAAATAACATTTTTCACGTCCATTATTATAACTAAATAACACCATTTTGTAATTAATGTAATTAAAGGTGATATAAATATGATTAATTTACGTTAGAAACTAAATAAAATGTAGAGAAATTTTATACAATAATTGTTTTAACATCATCCAAAATTAATATTAAATAGTTTTAATATAAATTCTTTCATTATAAACAAGATTCATAATTTTAAAATACATCATTTATCCAGAAATTACTTTTTTAGAGTGACTTTTTTAGGATTTCTTTTCTATTATTGAAGAACTGAGATCGTAGGATTGTTCCTAACAGTGAGTTTTTCAATTTGGATCGATAGGTTTATGAGATAGAGTAAGTTCGTTTTCTTCTCATTTTTTTGGTCGGTTTTGTCTTTCTTTGTATATGAGTATGTTGTGAATACATATGACGTTTGAATATTCTATAAGACTATTTGTTCTAACGGTATACTTTGATCATGTTTCTATGATTCGTAGGAGCATAGAACACTTCCTATACTTGCACAACTATTTTAGACTTTCTATAATGGTTTAGTCTTGATTTTTTACTAAACCAATATATATATATATATATATATATATATATATATTACATATATACATAGATATAGCGAAGGAAAGCATTTGTAAGCATTATATACCTGTATGTCTGTTTTCATCAACAACTTTGCTTAACTAGATAAAAACATATGTTCACCTGTTTCATCGTTTAAAATGATTATATTACCATAATTACTATAAAATGGTAGTCTCTACCAATATAAATCCAAAACCAGTAAACTTTATAAAGAAGTTGTTGAAAAATGTGTTAATGATGGTAGGTAAAATCATAAAGGAGAGTGATAAATCAGAAAGATTTCGGAGGTAAAATGTAAAAGAGAAAAAGGAAAAGAAAATCAACGAGAAAGCATTTTCTTTTAGCCTTGTGGAAGAAAACCATTGTTCAACAGTTGCTGAAAACCATCGTTCACCAATAATGAAATGAACCTTTCTTTAGTTAAAATTCCCGATATCAACCTCTACATTCATGCATACCCTCCTCAATCTATTTACATATGATTACATGTATATTATTTATTTGTCATGTCGTAAAGTTAAAATGTATGTCAATTTCATAAACTGGTACACATGTTAGTTGAGAATCGTTGTACATTACCCTATATGGGTGGACCAAACCAGCATCTGAGTCTGACCACTCATTGCAGTAGAAAGGAACAGAAAATAGACATCACCCCAGAAACTCAATGAACTAGCTTAGCTTCAAAAGATGTCCTTGGTTGATGGGTAACGACTTTATGTAATACGCAAGAAAAAGGAAAAATAACAGAAATTTCTGGATATGGTTTCTCATTTTCATTTTTGAGTTTTTTGTACTTTATAATATGGACCTTACGTCTTAACTCTTAAGTATTCCTTCTACCAACTTGTTAAAAGGGACATTACAGCAGAGGGTAGCTCTTTATAAAGTTGTCCTTTCTTCTCTATCTTGCAGTGCATTCAAGAGTGAGAAGCTACTGTAATAGAGAACTCAAAAGGGGTGGCTATGGCAGCGTTTGGAATTCGAATCGTGTTATTGCTTGCAGCTTGCTTGCTTCCACTATCTGTGGAAGCTTTGGTTCGCCACTACAAGTTCAATGTACGTGCATTATTTTGTCATCTTTCTCATGCAAAGCATATAATAGGTTTAAAGTTTGATAGATCACATAACATTGGACAATAAGACATGAAGATATAACGTTTTACTTTCATTGATCTATTTGTCTCCATGCATGCAAAAGAAAATGTACATGTTTTTTAAATTGTATGATCATCAGTGTTTGTGTTTTTTTCTTTGTTCTTCCACTCAATTCAACTTTAAATTACTATATAGCTCAGACGTTTGAATGCAAGAGTTTATTGACGTTTTTTTGGAAAATATTTTTTTAATAATTCTTTTTATAATTTTTTATGATATCTATATGATAGTTTCTTATTTGTCTATTTAAAATATACGAACCAATAAAACAGGATACATACTCTATTATTAAAAAATTATTAAATTATTTTGTTAACATTATGATAGTAATTTTTTTACGTCTGAATTTTGACCTTGTCTATCATGTAAATGAACTTTGATTTAATTGTTGAAATTATAAATTTTTGGTAAGTTAACTTAGGTGGACCAAAAATTGAAGATGTGAAAAAAAAAAAGCAAGCTAACCATTTGAAGTGCAATTATATATATATATATATATATATATATATATATATATATATATATATATATATATATATATATATATATATATATATATATATATATATATATATATATATATATATATATAATTGCAAGATAATAATGATCATTCTGATACATAATTTTCTGTTGAAAAAAAGTGTGGTGATACAATATCTAGTAGTTAAGGTCATCAAGACATAAAGAGATAGAATATATTTTTATTATAGTTGACTAAACCAGAATGGATAAGAGAAGCCAAGTCATAAAGTCTTTCCAAGCAGTTATTTAGCCTATATGACTTTGTGCCCACCATGCCTTTACCAAACAGCAAAGTGAGTGTGAATTTTTTAGCAAGTCAAGGTATATAAATTTGGTAGAAGTTGCAGTTGCCCTTTTTTTTCCTTGTTATCATTGGTCAAAAAAGTTGTTGCAGCAAACTAACTCCACATTCTTGTGTGGTGTTGGTGCTCTCAACAGGTGGTGGTGAAGAACGCCACAAGATTGTGCTCCACCAAACCCATTGTTACCATAAATGGAAAGTTCCCAGGTCCCACCATCTATGCTAGGGAAGATGACACTGTTCTGATTAAGGTGGTCAACCATGTCAAGTACAATGTTAGCATCCACTGGTGAGTGTGCTACAGTGTCTTGTTCCAATCTCTAATATTAAAGGTTATTGAATGAATGAAAATTGAACAGGCATGGGGTGAGACAATTGAGAACAGGTTGGGCTGATGGGCCTGCATACATCACACAATGCCCAATTCAACCGGGCCAGGCCTATGTCTACAACTTTACACTTACAGGCCAGAGAGGCACACTTTGGTGGCATGCACATATCCTCTGGCTTAGGGCCACTCTCCATGGAGCCTTGGTCATCTTACCCAAGCTTGGAGTTCCTTACCCTTTTCCCAAACCAAATATGGAACAAGTTATCATACTAAGTAAGCTCTACCACTTACATATTAGTTATAAACATATCATAATAGTATAACATAATAGAAATCAGAAAAAAATTACTTGACACCATGTGAAAAGCAGTGTCAAAATACCATTATTACTCTCACAATATTTGAATGTGGTTCAGGTGAATGGTGGAAATCAGATACTGAGGCTGTGATAAATGAAGCTTTGAAATCTGGTTTGGCACCAAATGTCTCTGATGCCCACACAATCAATGGTCATCCAGGACCTGTCCAAGGCTGTAAATCACAAGGTAAAACTAAAAAGTTCACTTCTTATCTTGTCTTTATATTTTGTTTTGTAAGAAAAATGTCTGAAAACAAAAAGGCAATTTCTTAGACAGATCCTTAATTCTCACAAGCTAGCTTTGTTTGGTGTGCAGAAGGATTTAAGTTGGATGTTCAAGCAGGAAACACCTACTTGCTAAGAATCATCAATGCTGCACTCAATGAAGAGCTTTTCTTTAAAATTGCTGGTCATGAACTAACTGTTGTTGAAGTTGATGCAGTCTACACGAAACCATTCAAAACTGATAGCATTGTGATAGCACCTGGGCAGACCACAAATGTGCTTCTGACAACCAAACATGCAGCTGGAAAATACTTGGTTGCAGCCTCTCCTTTCATGGATGCTCCTATTGCAGTAGACAACAACACTGCCACTGCCACATTACACTATTCAGGCACCCTTAGTTCCACCCTCACCACCCTCACTTCCATGCCTCCCACAAATTCCACCCTTCTTGCCACCACTTTCACTGACTCTCTCAGAAGCTTAAACTCTAAAAAGTACCCAGCCAGAGTCCCTTTGAAGATTGACCACAACTTGATCTTCACTGTTAGTCTTGGTATCAACCCTTGTGCTACTTGTGTGAATAACAGCAGGGTGGTAGCAGACATCAACAACATTACCTTTGTGATGCCTAAAATTTCTCTTCTCCAAGCACATTTCTTCAAAATTAAGGGAGTTTTCACTGATGATTTTCCTGGGAATCCTCCTGTATTTTATAACTTCACGGGAACACAACCATCCAATTTAAATACCAAGAATGGAACGAGGCTATATAGACTACCTTACAATTCTACAGTTCAATTAGTCTTGCAAGATACTGGAATGATAACACCTGAGAATCATCCTATTCATCTCCATGGCTTCAATTTCTTTGTAGTTGGTAGGGGACAAGGGAACTTTAACCCCACCAAAGACCCCAAGAAATTTAATCTTGTAGATCCTGTAGAAAGAAATACAGTTGGAGTTCCTTCTGGGGGGTGGACTGCTATCAGATTCAGAGCTGATAATCCAGGTAAAGCTATCAATGCTGCTGTCTAAACATAAATTTTACTCAGATATAGTCATTTGGATTTCAAATCTTCCTAAGAAGAAAACTTCAATACAATTTTTATAACCATTGTATGATGTTTTGTTAGGTGTCTGGTTTATGCATTGTCATTTGGAAATTCATACAACATGGGGACTGAAGATGGCTTTTGTTGTGGACAATGGTAAAGGCCCAAATGAATCTCTATTACCTCCTCCACGTGATCTTCCCAAGTGTTGAGAAAGTTACCAACTTTATATGCATAATGAGGAAGGGAAAGCATAAAGAGAACTGTGTATGCCAAAGGGGAGAACAATGAAGGCTACTAACGAGATTTTTATAGAGTAAAACAAAGGAGAAAATGCTCAAAGTAGACCAAACGACCAGTTGCCATATTTTTTTTCTTTTCTTTTTCATCATTTTTTTGTATTGTTTGTGTGATTTTTCTCCTTCTTCAGTGATATTTTTGGCTTTAATTATACTTATAAATGTGAGTCAAAATGTTAATGATTCTTAGACCCTCTTGTCGTGTGCTTCAGCTTAGTTCAGTTAATCTGTTTTTGCTAATTAATCACAAGCTCCGGGTTATCATTAAAATAGTTAATGTGAAATTTTGTCCCTAATTCAATTTTAAAAAACTGATTTGTAATTAAAATTTACATCCACTTATAATTATCATATCATATTAAAAAATAAGTTTTTAAATTTATCATAAAATTAATTTATAAAAGAATATTTTAACTCATTTTATATATTATAAATTAATCTTATAATTAGTGAATAAGTAGAATTCCTATTTAAGTTAATTTTTTCTGTCAAAATTAGTTGCAGTCCATAGATGTTTGAATTCTTTAAATAGAAAAAAAAATTAAATAAACATATAAACAAATTTGGTTAAACATCACAAATTCAAAATAATTGGCCCAAGCATCACACACTACTTAGCTTTCCTTCTCATGGGCCAGAATCCAAAGGAGATACAGGCTAACAAAAATTATTTACCTATATTATTTGTATCTATGGTCGAATTTATATTAATTATTTACCTACATTATTTGTACATATGGCTAGCATTTTAGTTAAATGGAATTTTTAACTTTATGTATTAAATAAAAAATGCAGATAGAGAGTATACAATGGATATTAAGTAGTGCTGTCAAAATGGGTTGTAACTGCGAGTCAACTCGGCTCAACACGGGTTTGAACCGGGTTGGGTTTGAAAAAAATGTAATTTTTTTATGCGAGCTAGTTTTCAACCCGGCTCACCGGGTTGAACTGTAGTCAACTCACCTAATTTAATTTAATTATTTATTATTTTTGTGTTTCAATATTATTAGTTAGTATCTTTTTATTATATTGTAGATGGTGATAAAAAAAGATGTTTCAAGAGAGAAAAATATTATAGATTTATCTATTCTCTAATATTATAAATGGACAAGTGATACAAAAACTATCGATATTAAAAACTTATTTGTTCGCTTTTGTATATGTTTTTGGATTACGTTTGGATTGTATGATATTTTTTTTTAATTTTGAATTGTATTTGGAGGGATGTCGTTTATTTAGATTTGAATTAAAAAAAATTAATTTTTTATTTTAAAAAAAAATTATAATTAAATGAGTCAATGAATCAACCCGTTTAACCCATCAATCCATGGTGGGTTAGGCTAGATTTAAATTTTTTCAGTTTGCTAATAAATGAGTCAAATTGGATTGACTCACTAAGTGACCAACCCGAACCAATCCGGATCGAACAGAGTTACCCATTTTGAGAGTTCTCCTAAGACATGCATGTTACCTTCGTTACTTCATGAGTAAATTATTCTATATATAAAAACTTTTTGGCAGATTGTTTTTTGTAGGTGTCTGGCTTTTTTTTAGTTTTAGAGTTGGGCCGAGAAGCCCAAACTGAAAGGTGAGAGGGGGAGAGGGGGAGACCCTGTTTCGTTCACCAAGCGCGAGAGTTTCTTTTCCTCTCTTCTTCACTTTTCGTTTTCTTCTTGGAACCCTAGGGACATGGAGGTGTGTGCGGCGTGAGAGAGTGAAAAGAGAAGCCCATTTCTTCAACCTTCGGGCACTTCCTCCATTCTTTTCATTTGATTTCATTTGTTTCTCTTCTTCTTCTTCTTCAATGTCTCACTGCGCGGCAAGGTGTGCCAGAAGGTTTGTGAACCTCACGCGTGCTCTCTCCACGGAGGCGCGTGCGCAGAAGGTGGAGCGTATTGCCAACGAGCTTCTCGATCTCAACAGGTTTGAGAGGCATGACTTCACCGTCCTCTGGCGGCTCAAGATGGGTCTCCACCGCTATGGTGCTCCGATGGCCGACGCTGTTACACCATCAATGCCGGCTGCAGGGTCGCCTGGGGTGGAGGCCAGTGCTGCGGCAGAGAAGACGGTGTTTGATTTGAAGATGGAGAAGTATGATGCTGCTGCCAAGATCAAAATCATCAAGGAAGTGAGGTCCTTTACTGACTTGGGGTTGAAGGAAGCCAAGGACTTGGTGGAAAAGGTTCCTTGTGTTTTGAAGAAGGGGCTCACCAAGGAGGAGGCTAATCCCATTCTGGAGAAACTCAAGGAGTTGGGTGCTGCAGTTGTGTTGGAGTGATTCTTATACTCTGTTTTAGTGCTCTAGATTTTTTATGTTAGATGTAGTACCATGAAGCCTATTTATGGGTAATTAATGATAAATGATAAGTTATATCTTTTACCCTCTTTCCTTTCTTTTTTATGTTTTGTTGGTAGTTTATTTTATGTGGTATGTGATGAGTGCATAGTGATTCTGGAGTTTAATAGTGAGGGTTCGAGTGAGTGGGAGACGCGTTAGGCTGCGAAGCATGGAGGAAGTGTTCGTGCAGTAAGGAAGATCATTTTTCCAGGTATGGGGAGCTTTCTTGGCTTGAATTGGTTGTTTTAAATGTAATAATGGATGATTTCTATTGATTTCCAATTTTCCCTTTTGGTTAGTGTTATATAGATATATTATTGTGTTTTGGTTTCACGTATTAAGTAAGGAAAATGACACTTGAACAACCATTTTTGACAACATTTAGACACGCGCACACGTGTCAAAATCTGAGTGGTCCATTTTCATTTAATTTTTCCAATTGGACCACTCAGATTTTGACACGTGTGCACGTGTCTAAATGTTGTCAAAAAATGGTTGTTCAAGTATCATTTTCCATTAAGTAATTGATATTTATTCTGGACATGAGTATGAGTTGAAATAACGGGTATATGTTTTGAAGATGTTTTAAATGGATAAATTGGGATATATGTTTGAATTAAAACTGGTTTGGTGGTCTGGAAAAGTTAAGTCGTGAGTTAGAGAGGACAGGGGTGGTGTGTATTCGTTTGAATAAGTGGAGGTTGAATTTGAGTGGCCTTGACATAATCTGGATAATGGTATACATTGGGAAAAGTCGGGGTTGTTTTGGGGTCTTGTTTGAATTATGAAACTGAGTTGGATATTGCAAGAAAGTTGTCTTTGATGTTAATACAATGTTATGTTTTCTTTTCTGATTTTAATTCATGAAGTTAAAGCTCCTACAGATCAATGGGTATGGGATTGAAGTTGTATTTAGTAGGAATGGTGGAAGGTTAAAGAAAACAGGACATGATGTATTTGACATTAAGATTGTGTATTCACGTTATGTTATTGATCAATTCTGAGTTATGAACTTAAATGAATTTTGGGTGAGTGTGAAGAGTGATATACGTTAAATCAGAATTTAACAGAGAATATTTGATCTGAATTAAGTTGAAGAAAACCAAATCAAAACTGAATCAAGAAGAAAATAAGAATTAAAAAAAACATAAATTTCATAATATAAAGAATTACAAATTCTTAATTTTTCAGATAGAATTTAATGTCCTAATTTTAAGTAATTCAATTACTATGTCAAAGTTGTATAATTTTAATTTCTTCTAAACTTCCTTACTTAAATAACATAATTTGTCATAAAACTATATTTAATCTATTTTCAGTCCATAATTATGAAAATTTATTCCAGTGGATGAAGTGACACCGACACTCATATAAGTGATGCGGGAATGCTAATTCCCTAGAATTTCGTACATGAAACAATCTTCATTATATCAATGTGCTCTTTGGTTAATATATTATGCAGATGAGATAAACTTGCATGATCTGTCTTCATGGTTTAGTTAACGTTGAATAATGGTGATGCAGCATTTATGCATGGTTTCTGTGTTGTGATGGATACACATTGTAGTTGTGCACATACCCAATAAGGCTTTTCATGATTCTCCAAAAAATTGTGGTGGCTGTGACTGTGACCGCTCCAGGAAGTTGGCAATTGGAGAATGCAGATGACTGTGTTGGATCTTCAAAACAGTACACAGATTGCAGTGCAAGTGCCTGTAACTGTAGTCTCAGACCACCCTTGGTTTTATCTCATTATTACCATCACCTCAATTCGAACTTGTTTTTATTTCACAGGACATCACATTCTTAAATTTAAGGAAACAATGATTTTGTTCGAATCTTGCTGCAGATGTACACCAGAACAAAATCAGTGCTTGTAAACGTTTTCTTGGTTTGAGAGAGTTGTGATTATATTTGGTGTTCCATGTTTGAAGGTGGGGTGATTTTACATAAATCTAAACTTTTATAGTGAATTTGTTTTGTTAATCTCACTGGGTCAATCGTTAAGTTCATAACTCAGAATTCAAGTGGGGTGGTCTCTTTTTTGTGTATTTGTAAGTATAAGTTATTGTGGTAGTAATGGCTAACTGCCAAAAAAAAGTCAAACAACCCTATTCCACAATCCCCAATCCAATGTTACTTTAAACACCTCTGATCGTAAATCAGAAGAAGGGGCTCACCAAGGAGGAGGCTAATCCCATTCTGGAGAAACTCAAGGAGTTGGGTGCTGCTGTTGTTATGGGTAATTAATGATAAATGATAAGTTATATGTTTTACCCTCTTTCCTTTCTTTTTTATGTTTTGTTGGTAGTTTATTTTATGTGGTATGGTAATAAAGTTTGACTTTTAAAGGGTTGAAGTTTTGTTGATCTTCCGGTTCATGGTTGATGAATGTTATGGAGGGCTTAGGCACTGGATGAGTGAAGTGTTTTGGTGCGAGAGAAATGGCCAAATTTCTCGTTGTGGAATGGTGTTTATATGATATTTGAAGAAAATATGCGATGGCTCTTCAGATTTTGGTGATCATGAGCACTGTCGTATGTTGTAGAAAGCATTTTCTTTATTTGATTTAGAAAAAAAGAAAACATAAACTATATAAATGATCTAAACATGAAGCACCTTTTAAAATAACTGTTCATATCCCCTATACAGCAGACAAATTTCAGGTTACATCAAATCAGGAATTAGAAATATACGTGAGATCATTTATAATCTTATTTTCTTGCACTTCCAAATCCTTTCCAATTTTTTCCCCTAATTTCTCAAGCATTACCTGTTGTTGTTAATATAGTAAATTTTTTACGGTTAGTTATGTGTTTTGCTGTTATCTGCTTTTCAGATGTACTGAGAAGATAGGAAAATGAATTTGATTCTGTTTGCACGTGTCCTGATATTCTTCTGTTGCAGAAGGGTTTACATAAATCTAAACTTTTATAGTGAATTTGTTTTGTTAATCTCACTGGGTCAATCATTAATTACTTAGCCCTTAAGTTGACAAACAGTTTTGTTTTGTCAAGGATTAACATATTTTAGTTGTTTAAATCCTTGCTTGCACATTATGTGGCTTTTTAGTAGGTGGAAGAGGTGCTTTAACACTAGCATAAGGTCTTTACAACATTTTAAGTCAATGATGCTTTAACATCATTGAGTTAGTCCTTGATCAACTCGATTTCATTAGAATTTGAAACTTCACTTGATTAAGGATTAAATTGACTTAGTTTGACTTTAGTTTAAGTCAACTCAATTTGACATGTTAAAGCTAACTCTTCTTGATATAGGTATGGGTCGACTTGACTTAATCCAGTTTTAGGTTAACTTATATCTTGATTTATATTTAAATGAACTTAACTCGATCTAGACCTAGTCAATTTAACTCGAATTAGATTTAGACCAACTTAATTCAACATAAATCTAAGTCAACTTGACACACTTAACTCAATTTTGCATGAGTCTTATCTCGATTCTACTTTACTAAGGTCTACTCTACATACTAATTTATAATTTATAACTTGAAATGATATAGATTCACCATACTTTTAGATCTTCAAATTTCAAAAAAATATTTAATACATATCAAATCTAAATTTAATTAAATGTATTAGACTTAAGACTCAAAAATATAATTTGAATTTAAGATAAATCTATTTAAATATACTTAAATTAATAATGTGAATTTCAATAATCTTATATGTTTTTCTGTGAAGATTTTTAGAGAATGATAAAAGACAATTTATCCTTATTCCGTGGTTAAGTGGTGTATTTTAAAAAACACATTCAAATTGTAAAATTTTGAAAGAAATGAAAAAAAAAACTTTAATAGGGTGAGAACTGCCTTTTAGAGATTTTAAAAAAGAAAATAAGAAGACTTTTTCCACTGTTTTTATTTATAATTACGTCTCATGTTTGATAAATTCATATCCTAATTCCCGAACAAACTCAATTCCAAATGAACTCAAACTCAATAAAATCTTATTGTAACTATTCAAATCTTTTTACTAACGCAGCCATCTTATAACTCATATATCATCAATTTAAAAAGTAATAAAACAATGATACAAATAAATATTCATAAAAAGTTAAATATTTTCATATATTGTAATAAAACAATGATACAAATAAATATTCATAAAAAGTTAAATATTTTCATATATTCATACGCTTGTAAAGTTTAGAGACCACAAATAAAGCTTATAAAGCTTTTTTAATCGGTAGGTAATTTACTTGTATATTATGATATGGATAATGATAGTTTAACAATATTTTTTTAACAATATTTTAACATCATCTACGTGTCATTCTGTGATTGGTTCAAAATTATTCCATAATCAATAATAATAATCATAAACACCAACATGGACCAATCACATAATAACATGTAGTTGGTGTTAAAATGTTGTCAAAGTATCATTATTCTTATGATATACTATTGATTTAGCAGTGTGGTGATTAAAATTGCATGCACTAAGTAAAATTTAATTAAACAAGAAATGATATTTTCACACATAAAACTCTTTTATATTTATTTAATATTATTTTTTAATATAAAAATTTATTTTTTTATAATCATTTTATCTTTATAATATATTTAATAAATATAAATGTGTGTTATCACATTATTATTCTTAATTAAAATCCTGACTGGATTGGCAGACGCGCACATGAGTTAGAAGCACTTCCAAACATAAACCTAACCCCACAAAGCACACACTGTCTCACTTTTATAAAAATGACAATCAGTAAGGGAATCTTTCCATTTATGGAAACAGCCTTCATTATTCTATTCATTATTTCATTTTAATAAGATTTTATTGATATATATATATTAAGAATTATTGGAGATGGTGTATATGTAGAGGTTTTATTTTACATCTTTTCCAGGATAATGATACTTTGAATAATATTTTTTTATAATATTTTAATATTATTTACGTATCATTTTATGATTGGTCCAAAATTACTTCACCATCAATAATAATAATCATAAACACTAACATAGACCAATCACATAATGAAACGTAGATTGTGTTAAAATATCGTCAAAA